GGCTCCTGGACTATATGGTGCACGTGTGCAAATTAAAACTGGGTTAAAAGGTTACTGAACCACAGGTTACCCTAGGTCGGAAACACGACGTACCGAGTTGTTTATTTGTCTCCGTCCCATTGTTTTTTTATGGAATATACAAGTCTCTCTTCTAATTGCAGTCAATATTTAAATACTGCATACAATTTATCCTCTCTTTATAATTTATCTAGTGAGTGTTGGTTTTTTATGACATTATTTCTGTAACGAAATTGAAATGGTTATGAAATGAAATTTAAATTATTTGAACTTTTGGGGTTTTGTAACTTCAATATTAAATCTTATTTAAAGTGAAACAGCTAATTTCTTTGCAGCCATAATAGTCACATTTGGTCAGATGAAACACACTACTACCCGCACACTACTCGTCGGTGGTATAGCTTTCAGAGGAGATTCGGTGTCAATGTCAATGGCGATCGTTTAATTGGGCCGCATTTTCTACCTGAACATCTGAATGGGCCGCGTTACTAATTTTTAGTAGAATTGTTTGAAAACCTTCCCCTTCGGGCTTACAGCAAATGTTGTTAAAATATTAAAATTATGATGCTAATAAAAACTGATTTTTGGCAAGGCATGCTCAGACCTCGAGGTTCTTGCTGGGCAACAATAACAATTTAATATGTTGATTGCATAAATAAAAAATAATTTATAGCATTTTAAATTATTATTGGTTGACGTGAGCAAAACCGTTTATTTATTGTCTTTATATGAGCGAAAATATATAAATATGGCAACGTTGCATCTAGGGCGCGTTGTTCATAGGTTCATATCGTAGCCGTGCATAATATTGTGACGTCAGCCGGTCAGTAACAGCCTGAAAAGGGGGTTAAATAATGATTTGAAAATATTTTTTTTCAGCTTAAATATGCATTTAAATTTTTTTTAATCACGCCATCGTATTATACTCATTTTTCTCTATCTGCTCTTAAAGTTAATGACATTATGACTGAATCACCCTGTATAACAAACTGAAATCCATTTTTTTTAATCGAATAAATAGTCGAGATATGATTAGGTTTTTAAACTATGCTTTAATTTTTTTTGGCAGGCTCTGAGCGGCATTAGTATGGTAAGTTGTATCAGTGTACTGTCAGAGTTGCCAGTTGTTACCTTTTTAAAACTACTGGTAAATAGTTTAGAAAAACCAATTGCTCCCCTATGGCTTAGGGACGTGTTATTTTAAAGTCACCATAAGTAGTTTCATCCTTAATAAAATATTATTGATATTGTTGTTGAGGCATGTAGTTTGGTTTTGGAAATAAAATATCACAAATCTTTTAAAGGTTGATTGTGATAAGAAAACTAACTCCATTCGTCGAATATTATGTGAAAGATTTACTACATAGTCAGTTTTAACAGCAGGGAGAGACGAGAGACGTATAAGTCTATTTCTAGAGGCGGATGATACCGATCTGCAGGTATTGTAGGGCAATCACATTCGATTACCTTACAATTATTAATACATACAACAAAATACTATTCGAATTGCGAATTAAAAAGATTTAATTTACGCATTTTAATTCATTTTCATTGGAATTACGAACATACAATGCACGAAAATAGGATTTACAAAATGCAAAGCTACTTTTCATGCAATTGTTACATTTATATAAAATGTTGAGTATACATTTTTGTATAGTNATTTTAAAGTCACCATAAGTGGTTTTATCCTTAATAAAATTTTATTGATATTGTTGTTGAGACATGTAGTTTGGTTTAGAAAACTAACTCCATTCGTCGAAAATTATGTGAAAGATTTACTACATAGTCAGTTTTAACAGCAGGGAGAGACGAGAGACGTATAAGTCTATTTCTAGAGGTGGATGATACCGATCTGCAGGTATTATAGGGCAATCACATTCGATTACCTTACAATTATTAATACATCCAACAAAATACCATTCGAATTGCGAATTAAAAAGATTTAATTTACGCATTTTAATTCAGTTTCATTGGAATTACGAACGTACAATGCACGAAAATAGGATTTACAAAATGCAAAGCTACTTTTCATGCAATTGTTACATTTATATAAAATGTTGAGTATACATTTTTGTATAGTCCGGCAAAATTAAGTGTATACAGGGTGTACCATAATTAACAGCGCAAATTGAAATAGCTGCAAGTACACGATCCTAGAAGCAAAAAAGTCGTAGTAAACATGGGTCCGCTAACGCACCGTTTTCGAGATACAGGATGTCAAAAAAAAGATATAAAAAAGTTTTTTGAGTTTGTTTTAATCAAAATTTTTTGCTTCGTATCGTGTACTTACTGGCTGCTTCAATTTGCGCCATTAATTATGATACACCCTGTATGTACAAGGTAGGTAAAGCAAACGAAGGAAACAATGTTTTATTCAGAAAATTCAATGTTGCTGAAAAATATTTCTGTCAGACTCACCTTTAGCCGACGAAATTGTTACAGGAATTTCGCACATGTTCCCAGTAAATCCTTTTGGACAGTAACACTTCACTGCTGACACACCAACGTGCCTATAAAAAAATATATTCTTGTGCACAAACAAATAAAAACATTGATAAATATCTTATGGAAGTAATTCTACTAAAAAAATTAGAATTTTAGTAATTTTTTTCAAAGGGGTGAGTTATTACCTACCAATAGTAAGTGTATCAAATTTGAAGGGTTGATCAACTTAAAAAGGTTATGGCAAAATATCTAAAGAATTAATTTAAGGTTATGAAACTGTTCAATTTTCGCAAAATATAATACTTTTATGTGTACATTCTGTACCCAATATTTCTACTTCAGAAGACTCTCTATTAAAGCATTCCCTTTTAGCGTTTCAGTAGAAGTAGATAGGAACAAAAAATATAAGCTAACGAACTGTAACGTGGTAGCCCCTTGAGCCAGATATCGGATACAAAAAGCCTACGAGTATCAAATAAAAAATAACTGGTTACCAGCTAGAAAGTTTTTATCTTGGTTGTTATTTTATTAATTCTAATAACAAGCAATTGTATTTCTTATCCGGCTCGAAGGACCAATACATTACGTTTCATTAACCATCCTAAGTTAATTTAAGCGATTTTTAAAATTTACTTTTGAGGCACAAAAATACCAAAATAGAAAACACGCCGCGTTAAATCACTCTTGTTCCCGGGCGTACTCTACTTCCACTCAACTCGCATAATCCTTAACAATTTTTAACTCGAATGCGCCAAACTTACAAGCACGTTGCATTATTTTTACAGATGCTGACGCCATTGGAATAGCAGTAGGACTGCGGCCCATCTGAGCAGTTAGGACCCGAATATCCATGGAAACACTCGCAGCTAAATTTCCTGGAAAAGAGGAAACCCATGTTTCAGCGTTTCATTTGAAAGCCAAATGGTATCGCGAGAGAAGTTTTTACCGTAAAATATTCCGAATAAAAAAGTCTAATCCCCCGGAATTAATGCGTTTGCACAAAAAATTATTTCAAATAAAGTAATTCATACGAAAATATTTATTTTGACGCGCATCACACTCTTTAGTTTAATTATTATTAATGTTTGGTTTAGACTGAACACTATGCGAAACGAATGGCACATTACAGTTTCCATGCAAATAGACAAAATTATTTTATCAAATTAAGAAATAATAAAATTTTATCTAAAATTGATTTGAACTTATATAAATGCATCACACTCACGTATAGTGGTCGTAGCAGATCCCAGTGAACCCACAGTCCATCATGGTGCAGGGATTAGGCCTGACGGTTCCCGTGGTTATTTCGTAGGTGATATTGAACCCGAACACGTCCAGGAACCTGTCCAGCACCCTCAGATGGGCGCTGTCGGCCGAGGGCAGCTTCAGCCGTATTACCAAGAATGACTGAAATGTCTGGACCCACCTCACCCTGCTGATATTGGTCTCGTTGACGCGGTGGATGAGCCTAGCGTTGATCTTGTAATCGCTACCGTAGAGCTGGTATTCGGTGAAGGTCAGGCCTTCGAAGACGAAGAGCTGTGTCAGGTAGACCACTATGGAGGTGTTGGAGGAAGTGAGGAGTTGAGCGTCGATGACCCACTCGCAGTTGATGGGCACATCGAAAGGTCCTGAAGCAAAAGGACCTCTTAATGCCACAGATAAATATCCATTAATTTAAATTACGTTTATTAGAGATTTAAAAACTTATCCTCTCGTCTACATAACATTTACACATATAAGTGTAAAAAATAAAAAGTAAAGTATATAATAGATTACTTATTACATCAAATTAGTTAAAATAGTTTTTATAATTAAAAACGCACAGACACGCAAAATATGGTTTTATGGCAGACATTTTGATGTCGATTCAAAAACAAAAGTGATGTCGATAAAATATTCAAAGACAAAAGTGTAAATATTTAAAATAATGTTGTTTTACTCATCATCAAACTGTAGATTACACCAAACCACCACCAAGCATATATTATTTTTTACTTAAATCTATAAGTAAACAATTTATTTTATAAAAGGCCAGTCCGCTGTCTTCCTTGAATTATTAAGTTAAAAGGCAATAGTGGCTAAAGATTTTAAATTTGGATTATTGATGACAAAAGTGAATTTCAGCGTACAATATGTAAAATGAAGGCAAGGATGAATAAACTTCAGTTAAACCTCAAACGAATTCATGCTGATAATAAAAAATAACAGATTTATTAATGAGTCTATGATTAATTAATGAGTCTACGAGTATTCATTAATGAGTCTACAGTTTATTAACGAGTCTATGATTTATTAATGAGTCTATGAGTTTCTATTAATGAGTCTGAGGTTTATTAATGAGTCTAATAAACTTTTTAATGAGTCCATGTGTCTGATTTATTAATGAATATATGTGAAAATTACAAACAAAACAATGAAAAAAAAACAAAATAACAGTACGTGTATACATTCTAACAAGAATAATATTCAACATTATTCTGCACTATGAAATTTGCCATAAATAAAATTCAATGAATTAAAATGATTTATTGAAATTTCCTGAATTTTTTTTTCCATTGTTTACAACTAAAGAAACTGTTTAAACAGATTTTCTAATAACCACAGCAGGAAAATAAATTACGGACTATTACACAAAACCTCGGCACGTAGAAAATTGAAATTAATTTAAAATCTTGTTAACAGAAGCGGATGCCAGAGATGAGATCGATAACAATTCGGTTACTAGGAATGCATACCGATAGCCAAGAGTACTTAATTACAACAGGAATTGATTTTACACTTAACGTAGCACATCCCGTATGCTATCGGACATCTCATCGATCTCGTGTTACTTGTCCTATTAACGACAGCGCTGAACTAAATTGAAGGTTTTTAATTGAATCGTCGACGAATGTAAGTATTTCAAACAAAACTACAATTAATTGTTATTTGGTTTAATAAAACCATGTTACGTTACAGCAGTATTTAACGGTAATGCTTATAATAATAACTTACCTGGAAAATTTGGAGTATTGATGATTCCTCTAGCTGCAGTGAACGTACCCCCGCACCCCCTCCTTCCACCCATCACCGGCCATATCAGAAGTACTCCCAGAAACGTCAAAGCCAATTTCAGCCTCATCTTGGCAGGGATGGTTAGAGATATTCCATTTCAATAACCTGAAACCAAGAGAAATTATGAAAAATACAGAAAACACCCGTTATTGTGGAAACATGGTTAAATAAAATCGTTGACCTGACGTTTCAAGACTTTACGACCTATGCATAACAAGCACTCTCGGTAATTGAAAACGGCTATATCATCGGCGGATACTGGTTCATTTTATTACTTGTTCTTCTAACGCCAGTCCTGAATACAAAAGAGAGGTTGATGAGCCGAAATTAACGAAGAGTAAACGGGTTAGGACAGACAAAACCGTCGGCGGAGGGAGCGAAATTTAATAAATTGGAACTGGGGGAAGTAAAACCTCCAGTTTGGTGATAGCCCAGTAACCTAATTCAATTATTTTCCCGTATCTAGGGGGAGAAATAAAATCCGATTATTTTAGTTTTTATGGCCCGCTTGAGTGGACGCGAAAAATTACACGAATTAAAATGATTCGATGTTTTTACTGTCAGTTTCTGACGATAATAAAATAACGTAAAAATAATGCGTCTTGCCCAAATATTGGCATTCTCCCGAATGTAGGTACTTTCCTCTATACAGACTGTTCACAAACTAGAAGAACTGGTAAGTGGAATTTATTATAATAAACATTTGTTATAATCAAATCAGTTTCTTTAGGTATTTAACCTACCTTACATTTAACCTTTTGAATTTGAAACTTTATAGAACTCTATATTCATTTATCTTAAAGATAAAGCACTTGTCAAGTCAGTCAAAGAGATGTGTAGAAGACACATTAAAACAGTTCGCAACAAATAAAACATATCTCGTAAAACAATACATCTTGTCTTATAATCCTCAACTGAGTTAAATCCGGATTTGTAAAACAATTCCCAGGCAAAAATCACGACTATCACCTCAAGATATTAGAATATTTAATTGGTACCTTGTTAATTAAGTAGCGCGCCAGTCGTTAAATTAATTAAAATACCCATCGTCGCTGTCAAATTCAGACGTTATAACCGTCATTTGCACGCATCTCAACCGCCAAAACCTTCTTGAGGGAGCTCTGTAATTACAGCGTGTGAGTGTGTGTAAATAAGGCTGGAAGGTTTAACACAACTAAATGGAACTACATAACTAGAATATTTGTCAAACTCATCAAAGCGCGGTCGGAGAAGTAAGGGCTGAGACACACAATAGCCCAGAGCAAGGATAGAGGAATGCGAGAAGATAATCGTGAAAGAAAAACATGGAATATATTAGACATGGTAATTACAACAGTTTTCTTCAGAAAACACACAGAAAAATGGAAAATTTCGTTTAAAGGTCTGTATTATTTTCTTTATTTTAAATTTCACCCATGTTTTGAATCCAAAGCTAGAAATCGCCCGAAGAGCTCGAAAAAGTTTACAGCCACCCCGACAGATATTTCTGGATATTCAACTTGTCGCCAAAGGCATTCAGACAGCGCATTAGCTAAAAAGCAGAAATTTTCGCCAATGTTTCGAATCTAATTGCCAGATTGGCAGAACAACCGTCAAGGACTCGTAGATTGTTCACCAATGTTGCGAATTTTCCAGTAAAACTACACGAAATTCATAAAATCAAACCATTTGATGAACATAAATTCACTAACCTAAACACATTCAATGGTCGATCAACACAACACCAGGAATAGCTGAAATCCAGAGAAGCTAAAAGTATATGAAACACCAGCGAAGATCAACCTCGAGAATTGGCAGAGCCGTCAAGGCGTGTGATCGGACGTCGACTCTATCTGCAGTTAATTAACCAGGTCAACGGAAGTTATTTCCGTGTAAAACTGGAACAAAAACTTATCTGTAGCGTCGAGAAATTAGAAGGGGTCTAAGGGAGTTTCCACCTTCAAAGAAAAATTATCTGTCGTTAAAAAGAACCTTTGTGGTAATGTATGTATATGGGAAACTTTTGTCATTTCCTGAAAACACCATTAACTTCCTCACTTTGTTACACTATTTTCCAAACAGCACTTACGTTAATCGTTGCCTCGTCAAAATTATACCAAATCTCTTGAAGAAAACCTTTTACAAACTGCATCTAACATTCCTTTTATTCCAGCTACCATCCGGAACATCGCGATTCTCCGTATATTAAATCAAAAGTGATTGATGGCGTGGAGGTCGAAGCCCTAGTTCAAACGCCAGTCCTTTGTATTACACAAACAGATTAGAGTTTACTTAGGTTTGCATCAATATTATGGTTTGATACGGCATTAGATTGTATATCTGACCCGCTATCTCCAGGCCGTTCCCTAGAATTTCGGCGGGGTCTCTGGCATTATTCACCGAACGGCAGAGATAATCTGAAGGGTCGAATGTGGAATACAATGGTTAGAGAGGAGGAAAACGCGCGATCAGCAATTTTTATACAAAAAACATCGCTCGCAATGTAGGCACAGTTAATTTGGTTAAAAAGTGTTAAAATATTTTTACATATTTGGGGGTGCTTTAATACAGTAGTACGGCTACATGAAAAACCGGTATTACACAGTTGTCAAATTGTGCGTAGCTATACAAATCGTGCAAAATGATTAATGTGGGGCGATACAGGGTCGGACTAAGTTTCGCGTAATAATTTACTGGCAATATTGTTTACTTTCGCGTCATCTATGAGCCCTTCGAAGGAACCCACTTATTTAATTCTGACTGGCTGATGTTTACACCTCTTGGTTCATCAACCCATCGAAGTATTTTAATTCCAATTCTAGCCGGATTCCACTGACCCGCTTCGTTTCTTTGTCTATGACGGACGGCGGCAATTAATGCTTCGCTTTATAGCCCATTACGTCGCGAATTATTGCGACCTAGACGGTCCGAGACCATTTCTATTGCTTACTTGGACAAAGTAACGCCATCGGATATCTGGGTCGTAAAAACGTCCGGCTTATTGTCGTTGTCGTGAGGACGCGACGGAGTGGAGGCAAAACAATACGGAGGAGACGATGAATATGTATGAGACACAATGGCGGTCGTAAAGTGGGCTAATTCTAGGGAATCCCGAACTACTAAAAAGCTCTAATAACAGATGTAAATGTATTAATTATGTCATGTTTTATGCCGTTCCGGAAAATGGTTTTAGAACCTTTAGGTGCATATAACCTATTTCTTTGGAAACATGCGTGAAATTCCGTTCTCCCACGCTGAGCCTACCAATACGCGTCTATCTATGTATAGTTTTGATAGTTTTGTTGGATTTTGTGCCTCGTGGAAATCTTTTTAAAGAATTATTGAGTTCTTTTCGAAACATACGTGAATTTTATATTACTACTACGATACCAGTTTTCCTAGCAGATTTGCGACGCCGATCGATAAACGGCACGTTGACGCGTCAATATTTGTCAAGTTACCGGAGCCCCCGGAACTGCGGGAGCTTTTCCGGCGGCAATTCTGTAGATACACACGGCCATTTACTCTTGGAATTGGCCATTCCGCTGCAAAATAAATTGCCGAGCGGTCCTGTTAATCGTGTAACATTTAAACTCATATTAACGCGAATTTATCTGGTTTTTCGGAGATTGTGTTTCCAGGGACCATAACGCCAGCAAAATGCACCGGAACGGCGGTAACGAGTTCCGTAACGTTTACACGGAATTGCATTTACGCAGTTCAAGTTCAGTGACCACAATGTTATGAGTTATTTAGTATCAGGTGAATATTTTTTTTTTTCAGCGTATAAACATCAATAAATCAGCGCATAATCTAACATTATTTCTGTGCTCAAACATAGGTTTTATATAAACACCTTTCTTTAAGACATTTGATGAAAATGAAATATTCTGTAATAAACTGCTTAAGGAGGATCAAATGTTATGAAAAATTGCAGCCAATTTCATATTATTGAGATATATTATTTTTGCAATGCGTAAACAAAATCTGCGAATTATTCTGGAATTATTTATCGATTTGATTTTGTTTTTAATTAATGCCAAACATTTGAATATTTCACATAGGTTCTTATAGGATATGCTGTGTGTGATGCATATCATTACAATAGAATTTCGGGTAAAAAAAATGCAAATGGTAAGACGAAAAAAATACAGACAATTACTTGAATCGTTAATTTCTTCGCAATCACAGTTTGTAGATAATATGTACTCTATGCCGATTAGTTGATGTCCTCGAACGGTGTACAGAGGTTCTGGCTCCACAATCTTCTCTTTGAAAGCTTTTTCCTGCTTTTGTTATTTTCTGTTCTAATTCTCAAGCACTCATACTTTCCTTTGGTCACAAATTTTCTTTTCTACCGACTATGTTCTTCATCCGACATTTTAGAGGTTAAAACAATCAGCTGAGCGAACGATCACATAGCATAATGTATATCTAGATACATGACAAGGAGTGTCAACTTACAAATAATAAACTTAGCATTTCGTGCGCTGTTGTCAAGTTTCTGTTGCAATCTTTGGCATTTAATTATGCAAATTGGATAAAAAAATAATAATTGAGAAATGGAAATATACAATTTTAAACTCGATTTTATTCAATATCTACAAGCAAGTGTCTTAATCATAAAGAATATATATATATATTTTTTTAGAATATTGGAGGAGTAGATGCTATATTAAAGCTGTTTATTAACAGTTAAGTCTTTCTGAAAGTGTGAAAAATATTGTACACCATCCTTATGACAATACTTAAAAGTTTTCCAACTTTAATAATAATAAAGCAATTTTTAAGAAACAGGTAATACACGGAACATAAATTTTGTTAGATTACACCATGTAAAAGGTTTGTCAGAAAAATTAAGATTGATTAAAATCAATCACTATTTAAAAATAGTGTTATTTATGAGTCTCTTTTTCAACCGTCAAAAGTAACGAAAACAAAAAGTCAGAATAAGTTCAGAACACTAAAACAGAAGATAGATTTTCGAAACATCAACAACTTTTTAAAATGATGTGTTTTTTGCATTTTGTATTTGTCGGTTTATTTTTAATGTGAGATTTTTTGTTAGGCAAAACTATTAACTGATCATTTTGGCGTAAGGGTTTTCTTTGACTAATTTTTAAATT